ACAATGAAAAAGAAATATTTTTTACTTTGATAAATTCTAATACTTAGAATGTGTATTTTTTTTTCATCACTTCCTTTTGATGATGACACATAATCTTTCAACACTCCCTGAAGGAGTGATGATGCATAATTCTTGCGTCATTAAAACCTTATGCCACAGAAACAAAACTCAGTGGGAAAAATAAAAACTTCGGATGAAAGAAATAGTACAAGATGCTATTAAACAATTCATTTAGTTTACTATCCTTTTTGATTCGTTCATCAAGCAAGAGGTTTAGAAAACGACGATGTATAGACTATTGTCTCACTAAAACCTTGCACCAAGAAATAAAACCCAATAAGAAAAATAAAACATTGGGTGAAAGAAAGAGCATAACCCACTAATAGTACATGTTTAGTAAACACCTCATTTTGTTTGTTACTTCCCCTGTTTAGTACAAGTGTACAACGTTCAAGAGAGCTGAGAAAGTCTTCGCATTTCAATGATTTCCACATTTTTCACAAATTTAGCCTTAGGCAATGATTTGGAAAACAAATATCCACATTTATCTCAGATCTCACTTGATCCACTTAAATCTTGAGGAGAGTTTGTTGTTTCCAATTGTAGAAAACTTTTGAGAAATATGATTTGTATTATCACCCTTGATATATCTTACTTTCATCTGCTTGATACTAGTTGCATTCTCTTCATATATACATGTAGAGTTTTTAGTGGTAAAACTTAAAGCACTCGTTCCTCTAGCATGTGTAATGATAAAGCACTCGTTACTCTAGCATGTGTAATGATACTCTTTGACTATATACACTCTCGAAATCGTCTCACATAGAGCAATAAATCTCAGAATGGTTCGAGAAGGTACCTACAAGGGTTTGCTTGGTTGAATTTAAAAGACTATCGTTTTTCCCATGGCAAATCTTTATCCAATTTGGGAACGACATTTGTATGGGTCAAAAGGATACTGAATATCAACAAAACCTACTAAAAGTTTTGTATGATGCACGGGTTGATACTTTGTCACTTATTGTTTATAAGTATTAAAATTCCATTATCAATTCCATTTTCCCTCTATAGGAAAAAAAGAAGCCCGAGTCAATGATTCCCTTTATGTATCCAAAGATATTCTTGATACTGTTCCAATACCATTCTATTGGCGCTGAGTTAAATCTAGCCAATAGATTCATTGATAATACAATAAATAGTTGAGTGCACTATGCTAAGTACAATAATATTCCTACTTAGATAGGGATTTCCAGCTCCCTACACCTCTTTGTCATCATTCTTTAGACGAAATGGATCTTTCCTTATATTCAACAGATCAATCAATCATGGGAGTGTTAGCCGATTGGGCTTCGTCCGTATTAGATTTCCTGATCAATTTTTAGGACATGCAGATTAGTAGATCAATATTCCATAAGCTCGATGTCTTAGCTCAAATAACTAGTAGACAAAACCAAGTTTTTCCAAGATCTCCCATCTCAATTTAGATTTCAAGTAGTTTATGGTTTCTCTTATTTCATCAAGAATGTCTATTATGTTCATATCAACGACATATAAAACTACCATTGAAAATCTATAACTCGTTTTTTTTTAAATACACAAGGGCACAGTTCATCGTTCTTATAAACATTTCCAAATCAAGTATTCACTCAGGCGGGTGCACTACATCTGCCTAGATTGCTTTAATCCATAGAGTGAGTATTTTAATTTGTTTGCAAATGCACTCCATGATTTAGAGTCACTTGACTTGGGTAATGTAAGACCATTAGACATTTTCATGTATATATCTAAATCTAGATCTCTATAGAGATATGTTGTAACCATATTCAGTATTTCCAGTCCTGCGAAAACCATTATTACGAGATATTATAATGTACATCATGGGAGAGTAAGTCTCTCGTGGTCAATCCTCGGCATCTGTGAGAGACCTTGAGCCAAAGGAAAGCCTTATACATTAGGACATCATTATTCTTATTATGCTTTCAAACAAAGACTCATCTATGTCCTACTGACTTTACACATGGGGAGTTAGCACTATTGGACTAAATACCTATTCTTCTGTCAAAGAATATAATTCTTTCTGGATTGTTTCTTTCCATTTAGGTCTATATGCTCTTTGTTGAAAATTTTCAACTAAGCGTGGTTCAATTTCATCATGCTCTATCATTTTATGAGCAATGGTATATGTGAACGTATCATCAATGGGTATTTATGATATGTCCATCAACTCATATGTACTCGTATAATTTGTTTGAGATTTCTTTCTTCTTTGGAATCAATATTAACTTCAGAACATTCTCCAATAATGAGTCATGGACATAGTTATTTTTAAAGACAATCTCATAAGAGTTTTTATGTATTAATGATGAATGATTGTGCCTTCTTCTTCTCTTTATTTAGAGGAGTATCTATCAAACCAAGTAGTTTCCACCATTTTCCATTTGGTAGTTATGGCCTCAAAAGCACCTCCATTATGTGTGATTGCAACGTAATTGCCAGCGGTGTTGTGCTCCTGTTGGGGACTTTTAACTTTACGAGTATATTTGCAGCTCGTAAATGTGATCTTGTCACTTATGGAACAACTAAATGTATCAGGTATCAAGTCTGATTCATTTGACTTCAACTTCACATTGTAACGTTTAGGGATCAAAATAAGACAGAGAGGGACATTTCATTATGTTCAACTATCTGTTTATATAGGTATGCGAAGGTCTTCTATTATGTCAAGTAAAGAAAACCACCTTTTGGTATTTTTGTAGTCATATGTTGTAATCATATCTCATATTCCCAGTTTTTCCATGTTAGCCTTTTGAAATCAAAGTCCTTTTAACCATGAAGATAAAGTTGTTTCTTAGGAATAAGTTGTGAAATCCATGAGCCAGAATGGAAGATATAATGGACCTCTGAATGAATGAACGTTAATAGCACATCGGCATTAGAGGGCATGCTTTTCTACCATAGCATTAAACAATTTTGTCAAAACCACTCCTTTACTTTTATTATGCTTTAAACCCAATATTATGACCTGATTTATGGGTTTTGGTTAGGTTTACATGATTTATGGACAATAGAATTTAATCAAAATGATTTGATGGTTTTATAAATTCAACAGTACAACATTTTGAGAGATGAAATACACAACTACACATATTCAGATGTTTGTCGATTTACAAAAACAAACTATTGATTTCAAATTTCAGACTTCAGACTTCAGACTTCAGACGTTTGTCAATTTACAAAAACAAATTATTGATTCAGATTTCAAATTTCAGACGTTTGTTGGTTTACAAAAATAAACAACCTTATTGATTCAAATTTCAGACTTCAACACCACCTCTTATAAATCAGAAGTAAAATAAGAATTCAGACTTCAACATATCTTAAAAAACAAATGACACCTAATACTTTTTTCTTGTCGGTATGTAAATCATTACACTTACAAAACGAAAGAAATATACCGTTTTTCTTTCCATGTATCAACAAATTTGTAGTAAAATATAACGAATTAATAAAACAAAAGAATAAACTATTTTTATTAACCGTCATTTATTTTTCTGATTCAAATGACATTCATAAGTGTTTGTTATTATATTACTATTGTCATTTGAACCTAAAAAATAATTAATTACCATATAATTCTCATTTGAATCTGAAAAATAAATAATGAATAATGAAAGTGATATTTAATCATTTTATTTTAATTGATTTATTATACTTTGTTACTGATTTATTGACACGATAAAGGAATGATATATTCCTTTCGTTCTAAAAGTGTAAGGACTTGATTCAAAAGAATTGATTAGAGACTTAATCATTCAAAATATGAAAATTTGTCAGGTTATTTTTTTGAAAAGTCAATTGATTTATTTGTTCGATTTCTAAAAAAAATTATTTGTTCAAAATATTTTTTTAGTTAGAAAAATAACGAACATAATATATTTTATTTTTAATTAAAATAAATTTTATCAATAATCTTTTTAAATGAATTTTTTTTTTTTTGTAAATATAAGTACTTTTTGTTATATTTGTTTCATTTTATAAATCTAAATACTCTTTTGGTTCAAAAAATGTTTAGGGTATTAATCATTCAAAATATGAATGCCCATTGGTTTTTTCAGATCTTTTCCATTACCATATTAACCATTTGTATAGGTCATAAGGATGTATCTATTTTAAAAATTCCAAGAAGTTATTTAACATGATTTGGAATGTCCAATGACTTATTTGTTTTTAAAAAATTATCCAAAAACTTAATCATTCCAAACATTAAAGTCCATTGAGTTTTTTTTAGACTTTTCTCAACTTTAAAAAGACTATATACTATCGACCAAGTGATGCTTTCATGCCACACGAGTTCGATGTCCTCTCTTTATAAAATTTACATATGTGATGATTAACTTAGTTTTCAGGCAATGACTATCATGTTATTGCTTTTATTTTTCTTTACTTTATTTTCATTTTGTTATCGGGAAGATTGGGATGGTGGTCAATGGGGTATTTTGTTTTTAATTGAGAAAAAAATAAACTTTGTTATATTAAATAGGAACTAAGGGGTCGTTTATCTAAACACTTACCCAATAAGCGCTTACCGGTAAAATTAAACACTGTCGCTTACTTACCGGACAAGATTTTATTCACTAAAACGCATCGTATGCAACAATTTATCCCGATAAGCGCTAACCATGGTAAGAGTTATTGTCCTCACTTACCGGGTAAGACTCTCGATTCTTGCTTTTACTCTTACTAGATATGATTCTTAATCTTTGTCATATTCATTCAGTAAAATAAATTGACTTGATAAGTGCTTACCCTGGTAAGCGTTTGGTTAACGGCACCTAAATCAAATTTCATTACATTTAGTAGTATTTTTCTATTTTGGCCACTAAACAAAAACTGTATTTTGATTTCAGCCCCTGATCTTCAAATAAACGCACTTTCAGCCCTCCTGGAATATGACATGTCTATTAAGGTCTCCATCTACTAATTTTTTAATCAATGGCGTCCAATCTTCCCCCTGGAAAACAAATCTCGTCGGAAGAAACGTCAATTTCCCCATCTTTCTTCACTGTAAGCTCATTTTTGTTCTAGTTTGAAGATTTATATTGTAGGATCTTGATCTTCGCAGCGTTTTCTTACACAACGACTATTTAACTTACGATTTTTAATGGATTTTTGGTGTTTGCGTTGTTTGTTGATGAGAACGATGACCTCTGATGGAAACATTTCATCTATGATCTTTTTTTTACATTTGGTTTTGCCAATCTGAACAACTGTATTGTAGGTTTTTCAACCCTAGTTGTTTCAAGTTATAACTTATTTATAAGTAGTTAAATACTTGACTTAAGGGTTTTGGACTTTGGAGGCACATTGTTATTATGAAAGGAGTGTCTCCAGAAGCAATTCAATAATCCTAACATTCTCCTATCTTGTTAGGATTAGGAAGAAACAACATATACCTGTGTATTGATGGCGTGTGTATGCAATTGATTAAGCTTCAATTGGATTTTGAGATGATAACTATTTCCATCTTTTAATTCAAATATTGTAGAAATTTAACATTCCTACCGTTTGATTTTTGCTGTTGTTCCTTTCATTTATGGGATATACATGTTCTATTATGTTATCTGCAGGATGGATGGTTTTCTATGTTGTCATCATAATATAGAAGTATTACATCTCTTATTGCAGATTGGATTATAGACGGATCAAGTGCTTGTTTCTCGACATAATCTGTGTCAACTGATAAACATGGAGGTTGGTTACCTGCTAGCCTACAAGCACCTGAAATGGAGGTACCGGTTTGAGCTATTGTATACTTGTTTTATAAGTTCATAATGCTTTTAATTACTCGTCTATGTTTAATTTGTTATGCTTTCTTCGTCAGATGTTGCTTTTTTATGTGGGTACTTTTAGTTTCTTAATCAAATGTTCATCTGTTGAAGAAGTCTATGTAAAATTGGTTGCTTAGAGTTCGTAGAGATATCGTGTATAACTTTACAGTGCTACTTCATTCAAAATTACTTCAGTGAATGCCTCTTTGGTTAACAACGTTTTCTCAACTTCCTTATGCATTCCAGAAAACTAGGTATTACTTTTAAGGCAAAACCAATTACCATTCCGATCAGGACTTAGCTGGAGTTGATCACATATCTAACAAGATGGAAAAGTTTTAATACTTGATCTTGATTTTCTTGGAGACTTTAAAGAATTCATGTGTATTAGTTCTGAAGTAAAAGGTAGTTCTGTTGGTTTCGTTAATTTGTTATAGATATTTTCTCCCTCTCCTTAGCAAGAATGGTAGAGGTAACATGTCAGGATGAGTCTGTGAAAAGTGCAATCATAGCGTCTAAAATACATCGATGCTGCAGAGTTATCTGTAGGACCATGCGCCTTTAAGTAATACACCCTTGATTCCATGAAAGTTGGAATGTTTGAATTACACGTTGTTTAAGGAAAGTATTTGATTATTTATCAATTATATAAATATGCTCGGTGGTGATATCGTAAAAGAATCTTGTGAATCCAAATCAATACTATTGCACTCACTTGTAACGGATCATGGGCAAATACATAGTTTTAACTTGAGAACGTTCCAAAATGGAAATAGATGCAATTTTCATGGGATGAATGGAACATAAGTAGGACAATGAGTCGAATACATATGTGCATGGTTTTTAAAATTGGTTGAGGTGTACCCCTCGAATTGAGGCGGTGCCTCTTAAGCGCTAGATGATGCTTATGCCTTGGTGGTCTTAGGCAGTGCTGCTGGCTGTGAAGCATATGCCTTGGTTTAGGCATTTTGCTTATGGATCTTTTATATATTAACAAAGGACCGAAAACCCTAGAAAAGTTGTACTTTTTCTATTTGAAGTAAAAAAGTGGATTTCTTCGTCATACACATCCATCTCTCTCACACACACAGTCAAGGGGACCCACTTCCTCCCTCGCTCACGGTCATGGCTATCAATGCAATGAAGGATGAAGGCCAAAGTTCAACATCAATGGAAAAATATTCAAGTGAACTTGGAAGATGGATGATGGTGATTATGAATATGATGATGGAGTTATGTAATTTGATCGTGTTTTAAGAACTTATGACTTGTTCGTATGCTTTTAAAACTTAAAGTTGGTTCTTTTATGACTTCCATAGTTTGATATGTGATTATGTTTTACATGTTATGAATTTTCTTTGTTTTCTGTATTGGGGATTACATCTTGGACTACCTCGAGGCTTATGTGTTTGTCTCACGTTTCTGTATTTTACAAATATCGCATATATGTGATATGTTACGTTAGTGCTAGATAGTTCACATCACAATTTAACTTTCAACCCTGCAATATGCGAGTTAAGAAAATAAACACAAACAATCCCAAGATGTATGGTGTGGATTTTAGCTTTTCAACTTCTAGTATGACCATTAAGTTGCAATGTTCTTTGACTATTCTATCTGACCATCCTGAATCGGTCTTTACATGTGTTTTAATTCCAAGGGTATCAGTTGCAATCAAAGAACTGCTCGCTGGCCCAGATAAAATAAATTGGTGCTCGGTGCTCCCGCAACACAAGCATCATTGTTTTGCCACCGCCTGAGAAGCAAAAGATTTGAGATCTTTTAGCGCGTGGGGAATTAATGACCAAGAAATATCTCAAGTTCCTTCTCTTCATAAGGCTCAGCTCGGTAAACTTCTATCCAAGCTCAAAATACTTCACAACCTTGGATTCAGCTCGTCAGACCTGGTCAAGAATGTTAGCGCCATTTTACTAAAATGTAGAATCAATCAATGTTTTGGTGATCGACATCAATTTACATCAATACCTAAAATCCTTGTTTTGATCAAGAAAAAATGCTTCAGAAGAGGATTCTCAAGAACCCTTGCCTTGTGATTTTTGATTGAAGATACAGATTAAATCACTGTTGATCCATATGAATCTATGCGTATAAGTGGAGATGATTTGATTTGATGCTTCTTGCGTCCAACCTAATTCTTTTGAGACCACAGATCTCTGAGAAGTCGGAGTATGTTAAAAAAACAGGCAACGTTGATGATTACAAGCTGTAGAAATATGCGGTTATCCTTATGGCCATTTTACTTGGAGATAATCTGTGAGAAGACAAGAACTTCAAAAATCTGGGTTTGAAGAAAACGAGATGTTTTGGCCTGTTTGTGGCGCAGGGTTGGTAAAGTTCAAAGGAACATGGCTCTTGGGTGGCTCGTATGAAGCCATCTGCAAGAGTAATACTAAGTTACCATTTTTGCTTTTTAACAATTTGGAGAACATGTTAAAATCCGTGGATCTAGCGGTGAAGATAGATGAGTTGTGTCTGATCCTGCAGATCACGGGGCAGATGGTGGGGTTGAATGTTTTTAGGGCATAAGGATAGCAGAGAGGAGGTCCATGAAGGCGTTTATCAAGCGTCACCCTGTAGAATTTTAAGGAATTTGTTGAAGAATTAAAAAGGAAACTGGATGTAAAGGATCTCCTTTCTGATCTGCTCTTAGGTGAAGGTATGTCCCTAACTTTTCACGAATTGTTCCATTACAATTATATGTTTCATTTGGTTTGTTGATGCATCTGCTTAGATCACAATGTTTAGAATCGTACAATAAAGAATTGTGAGATTTAAGATTGGTAATTGATTCCATGCCGTTGATTATAATATCAAGATTCTTTTTTTTAATCCATTAACATCGTTGGATGCGTCAGATCCCGTAGAACAAGCAAGCTCTTTACCGTGTTTCCTACTTGAGTCGTAAACTCGTAATGGTAGATGCATATTTCCATCTATGTAATGTATTTGCTTAAAAAGGTTGGTAGGACATAACTCGGAGGAATTTAAGGGCCGTTTACCAAACACTTACTTGGTAAGCGCTTACCGCGTCATTTACCTTACCGGATGAATATGGCAAGGACCGAGAATTTTACCCAGTATGAGCGATGACAAGGACGGAGAGTCTTACTGAGTGAGGGTGACAACTCTTACCCGGTTAGCGCTTACCGGGTAAATTATTGCATACAAAGGCGTTTTGATGGACTAGAATCTTACCCGGTAAGATAAGTGATGGTGTTGAATCTTACTGGATAAGCGTTTGGGTAAACGGCCCTTTACTTTCCATAACTCTAAAATCTGTAACTTTCTTATATGGTCATAGCGTTCTGAAATAAGAAAGTGTGTATATGGCCACTGCATTCAAACAATGTATTGACCTCTGATCGGACGTTCCTTTTTGCCTCTCTATGCTTCCTTATTTGATGCTAAATGGGAAGTCGTCAAAGATGACTTCTTTGTTAAAGAAGAGTTATAACTGAAATATCTTACCTACAGATTCATAGCGCTCTTAGCGCACAAAAACAATAATCCAACTGTTTATGTATCTTACCTTCAAGTTGAAGTAAGAGAGATCCTATAACCAAAAATTCTGACACGTGGACCAGATCCGAGACCTAGCCACAACCCGAACTAGCAGATCAACGGACATAAAGAAACTAAAAGACATACCAACTAAGCCAATAAACGCTAAGCAAAACCCCAACAGTCAGCACCAGAATGTCACAACCACCATTGTTGCTGCTGAGCCATTCATTGGTAAACATCGACCTTGCTGTTGCTGGATACTTTACGACTAACCTTAAAAGAGAACTTTAGAAGCCGCTAAGTGATGCAACCTTGCCTAATACTGGGATACCTGAAATTGGAAACCCTAGCCAATGAAACCTCAATTCCAAACCGTCACTATCACACCATTGCTACCGCCTATAAGCGGAATTGACATATCACGTATCTAAACTAATGACCTGTGCATGGTCCGATTGCAGCAATGGGTGGTGAATGTAAGACATGTTAGAAGTAAAACTACTGAAGTTGAGGCTGAATGACTGAAACCGATGACTACAGAGTTCAAAAGTTATGATGATTTCAAACTATCTAGATTATGCGAGAAATTATAACTCCCACTTGTAGAATGTCCTACTTGGTTAAAATAGATCTTGAATTTATTGGTTCTTCACGTCGTTACCTAAATTAATAAGCTAGATCACATGCATTTGTCATCCAAAATCAGCAAATTATAAACCAAGGCAAGCTTAAGAAGTTGGCATGTAAGTACTTTCAGGTTTGTAAATTTTATACCAGACTCTTTGAAGCAAATACTATCTACCAGAATCCAGTACATAATATTTTTGAACCTTCTAAATACTAAAAATACTTGAGATCCATTGTTGAATCTCCAGCAATACCTGAATTCTCAGCTTAGTTCTTCCAGACAAGGTTCAGCAACCCATCACAGCACAATTGTAAACAAAGTTATCAGCCCTTTTCCGGCCAATCATGGTCCACTGTRGCGGACCTTCGCTASGGACCCAAGAATATATTTCTATAYGTCTGAACCCGCATTTAGGACCACCRATAACGATGATATGCTCCCCACATCCTCTAAATGCAATACCCCAGCCGTCCACATTTTCTGCGCTCTCAGGCAATCTTCCTATAGTCTCCCATTCTTTCTTCTTTTTGTCATACTTTTTCACTACCAGTCCAAAACAATCAGCAGCATATAGCTCGTTATTCACCACTGCAACGAGTGGTGGAGCCATTGATGGCCCAACACGGCCAGGTGCCAAGTTGGGAATTTCAGTCCATTTCTTGGTTTCAAGATCATACTCTTCTCCACATGTCAATGACTCCATATCAGATCCTCCAATCCCTCCTATTACATAAAATTTACCATCCATAAACACCCCAGAACTCAACTTTCGGGGCTTAAGCAGGCTTGGAAGCGTCTCCCAAGTTCCCGACTCACTGTTGTAACTCTCGGTTACATCCAAAACCTCCCCATTTCGAGTCACACCGCCTGCAAAGATTGCAATCTGGCCAAGATTGGCGGACCCAAACAAGCATCTGGGAGAGTTCATTGGGTTCCCTAATGACCACGAGTTTGTCAACAAACTGTACTTGTAGACAACATCGCCCATAATTTCTTTGCCGATAACTAGCAGCTCTGTCCCAACCGCCATGGACTCCTTATCCGAAAACCGGAAGCATGGGTTAACCGCCATTTTTGGTAGAAGCATCCATTTCCTGCTAATTGGATCAAAAGCTTCCCACTTGACCAGATTGCAAGAATAATAAACCCAATGTTCTATTACGCCATTCACCCTTCTTAGTTTATAGAGTTCTCCACTCCTGATCAGGTCACAGAAGCTCCGGTTTAGCAATGCGATGGCACCATAGGTGGACCGTGGGCAACGGATCAGACAGTTGATCGTGTTGTCCCGACCTATGTCAAGGATCAGATAACTCGTATCCAAATCCATATTCATATCCGAATCATGATCGGAATTTGAAACTGAATCATGTTGGTTTTCCAATTGGTCAGGTGGGATGATGGGATATTCTAGATCGTCGATCTTCTTGGAATGATCACCTTCTCGATCATGTGGCGCCATGGGAAAATCACCAAATCCTAATCGGATTTGTAAACCATGGTTTCCTACAAATTTCTTGCAGATTTTTGTAGCGTGATCAGGTTCTTCATCTTGGTTGATTTCCAGTGGTCGCTTTCCTTGCTGCGATTCTAGTGGGTCCATCCCATAATCATTCACATTAGCCCAATTGTTCTTGGTTTCACGGCTACAGTTCTTGGGCACAAAACTAGATCGATCCTCCAACATCGTTTCCTGGTTCAGACGACTGAAAACAATAATCGTAATCAATCAAAACAACATAATGAAATCCATCAACATTGCTGTATGTAATCTAAAACTGTAATTGCAGTGAAATTAGACGAAGATCAATAAATTGAACACAATGAGGTCGTTATTTGAAGGATCCGACTTACCAGTTTCTGTAAGAACAGAGAGTGAGATTGTCGATGTTCTCCCCCCCTCCCAAATCCAGAAATCGGAGGGGTTTTAGGGTGAGATTGTTTGGGTGGGGGTTAGAGTATAAACGACTAATAAAGGGGGTTTGAATTTTAATATTAAACTATTTGTTTTTATGTAATAATTTAATTTGTTGATTACCAGCATGGAAATTTATAGGATTTTGAGAGAGAAACTGGTGGTGGCGGCGGGAGGGCCCCATCACCAACAGAATTTGTGACGCGTCGCCTCGAGGTATGCCACTTGGCTTAAACTGGTGACTGGCACTTTCTTAGGTGATGACACGTGTTCTTTCTTTTTTGTTGAATTATTTTTTTAAACTACAAAATCGGTTTCTGAACTTTCATTTTGGGTCCCTTGCGTTTTGAGATTTTTCAATTCAGACCCTTTGACTTTATCATGATTTTGAGGGTTTGGACTTTGCGTATAACATAACCTGATTATAATAATTAGATATTAATATAAATGTAAAATCATGTATTTTCAATTAACATGTTTTGGTTTTTAAAAAGTTGGATTCATTTTGTATATTATTTGTAAGTTTTAATGGAATTCAGCAGAAGTTGAATAAATTTTATGTATGTAGGGAACACGTAAAATTTGAAAAAGATTATGCATTAATAATCGGATACTTAATATTTAAATGCTATATAAATATATCAACTCTAAATTCATTTACTTTTATTTTAACTTTAAATTTATTTATTCTTATCTCTTCTTTCTCCTCGCATGAACATTTCACCATGATACACATTTTGTGCATGTTGTGATATATTAATTAGGATAATCCTCTCTCTATATAACCATTGGTATCTATTGATGTCCGTTGTGATACCCTAAGATAAACAATGTGATACACTAAAACAACGAAAACATAGAATGTAATACAAACGAAACAACATAAATACTCTGTGTTACTGACATAAAAGTTTCAAAGATAAACATTGTGAAGAGTTATGAATGTTCTATTTATGAGAGTTATATGTTTCTTGTTTATGGAGAGAATAAATTAGTTAAATGTAATTAGGGTTGTAAACGAACCGAACGAACACGAACGAAGGCTTGTTCATGTTTGTTCATTTAACTTAAACGAACACGAACGGTAAACGAACGAAAATCTTTGTGTTCGTGTTCGTTCGTTTAGAAATCAGTTGTGTTCGTGTTCGTTTATGTTCGTTCGTTAACATACTAAACGAACGTAAACGAACGAACATAAACGAACAAACTAAACGAACATAAGTAAATATTAATTGATTTCAAAGTAAATAAATAAAAGATTATATATTAAATTTAATATATAAACGAACATAAACGAACGGTAAATGAACGAACATTCACGAACATAAATAAACGAACGAGACTCTTGTTCATGTTCGTTCGTTTAACTAAACAAACAAAAAAATTGTTCATGTTCTTTCATTTATTAAATAAACGAACTTCCCGCCGAACAGTTCTGTAACACCCCCGTCCCGCGTGGTCAAAGACGGGTGATGTCACAATTGGAGTAAAACCAGCATGCTATATAAAACAGAGCGGCTAATTAAAATTTACCAAAAGATAATTACATAACCACAAACGAAGATAACGTGTCTCAAAATACGGTCCCAAAATATCAGCATGTCTACATTAGTCATCAAAAGTTTAACAAAAATATGACT